CCATTTTGATAACAATGGGTTATCAAAAGCCTGAAGTCTGGGTTTTGTTTGCCATTTAAGAAATGATATTTTTTGTATTATTTAACTTTCCAGATTTGCATATCAATTTCTCCATCAGTAAACACTCAAATCGTAACATTCTAATGTCATAAGCTCTGCCCTGTAAGTCATAAAAATATTCAGCATACATTAAATTGGTGATGAATGAAAAAAAAGATTTCTGGCAACTGTGTTGCCGATGGATACATAGAGATTCAATGTCTAAATCATTTTGCTTTCATTGTAAACAAGAACTTATGGAAGCCACATGATCTTTATAATCAGTATGGAAATTTCAGAATGTATACTGAGCATACATACCATATAATATATTAAATGTTAAACTAAATAGCAAGTGAATAGCTAACACAAAGAATCTCCCAGGTTCCTAACTCACCACAGTGCGGCAGCTGGAAATATGAATTATTAGTGACAAGATGTTAAGTGTCATCATGTAGAAAATGGTTAGTGGAACTTATGAACATTATTAAACCTCTCAGCATTCATATTAATTTAAACAAAAAGATTCTCCAATGATATATGAGCACCTTAAGGCCAAATATCATGTGTTCTCAATTCTAGGTTGATATATCAAATTTGACCATTCATGAGATTGGGGAAAGGAGCTTGTCCCCAGTACTGATGCTCAGGCCCACTCCCCCAGGTTCTGGTCAGTAGGTCTGAGGTGACATTCTTGAAGTTGCATGATAATCGACATTTCACATGATTTTGTTATCAAGTGGCCCTCATGCCCCATTAGAAAAACAGTGGAAGACCAGCACATTTCAACAGACATTACATAATAACATATTAGACATTGAGTGAAAGAGCAGTTAGACAAATAAGGAAGTAAAATAAGCACTTGAGCTAAAGTGCATATTATAGTTTAGACATTGAAGAAATCTTACCCGTTTCTTTTATGAATGTGCACATGTACCTTGGAGATTTCTGTAGGAATTTGAATGTGCATTCTTATTCATTTGTTCTAGCCTTTTAGGGATTCTATTTTGCCGTCTTCTGTGGCAATATCTAATGAACTGAATTTTTACATTTCAATCTTAAATCCTTTTTAGTGAGTAAAAATGCAAGAAAACATTTTGAAGAATCTATTGCTGTATATGAATCTCATCATTCAGGGAACATACACATATGGTAGGCCTGTGAGTTGGATTCAACAAGCAATGTTTATATCCACAGATGAGTTTTCAATGTTATGAACTTGTATTCAGCAGAGAGTAATTCCGTTACAAGCCCCTACCTATCAAGGTGATTGGGAAGCAGTAGTCAATAGGTAATTTGCAGGCAGTGGGGCACCTGCAATCATTTACCAGGAAAGTAATAAGAAACAAAACAACATAATACAATGATAATCACATCCTGTTGATTCAACCCAGCATCACAGGAGAATAAAAGGCAACAATTCCCGTTAACAATTTGGAAGTAAACATTGCTAGTGAAGCATGTCCTGCAAACATCCACAATATGCCATTACCAGTTACCTAACGTGTATTGTAAACAGAAGAATTTTCTTTGTTTCAAACAAATGAGCAATGCAATAATTTATGGTAATTACTTTAGCTGCTTCATATAATATGTTTTTATTTTTTAATTAATTAATTTATTTTATTTATTTCAGAGCAGAAAGGAGAGGGAGAGAGAGGTAGAAATATCGATGATGAGAGAGAATCACCAGTCAGCTGTCTTTCACATGCCCTCCCACGGGGGATCGAGTATGCAACCAGGGGATGTGCCCAGATCAGGAATCCAATTGTGACCTCCTGACATTCAACTATTGAGCCACAGCTGCTTCATATATTTTCGTTACAAATTTACTTAATGGAAAGGCCATGTTTATGTCCTTATTAGGTTTATTTGGAAGACAAAAGTAAAGTAGATTACACTACTGTGTACATGGATATATGGCAGAAAAACCCAAACAAACAAATAAGACTTCATTTTTTACTTGCATTTTGTAAATATAGTTTAATCTGGTACATGAGTTTAGGCTTCACAGTTTTGAAAATATATAATGCCATTGCACATTATTTTTTACTATGTGTGTGTGTTTCCATACATATGTGCATTTTTTGGCATGACATGATGGAGATTAAAAAGTACACAAAAGTGTAAATACATACTGGTAAAACTTCATCTTTCTAACTATGGCTTTTTACAGTATGATCTTGACCCTCTTGCATTACAATCAGCTGTGGTATTTGTTATAGATGTTAGGGCAAGTCAACAAGACCAATTTATCCTCCAGCTGGACTGGAGCAATATGGAACTCCTCAGCCAACCTCTGCCTTTGGAATATTACTTATGCCTATGGTTCCCATGACAGGAACTGTTTTCAAGGACACAGTTTTGAGAAGCAATATGTGGCTGAGGTGGTGTATGCGACTGAATCCAGGTCACTATATGAACTCTTAAGATTTTAGCATGTGGGTTTGGAGCTCTACTAGTCTTTGGTCACCCGATGGAGAAAAGATAATATTTCAATAAATTGTGCTGAAACAAATAAACATCCACATGCAAAAACATGACACCCTTAAATCACATTATACCCTTTAAAAAGGTAACTCAAAATGAATCACAGGCCTAAATATAAAGTGAAAAAATATAAAACTCCTAAAAGGTAACATAGGAGATAGTCTCCATGACTTTGAGTTTAGCAATGACTTCTTAGATACAACTCAAAAATCATGATCCATGAAAGAAATAATTGAAAAGCTGAACTTCAAAAAAACTTAAAAACTTCTGCATTGTGAAAGACACTGCATCGTCAAGAGGATAACAAGACAAGCCATAACCTGGGAGAGAATATTTGGAAAATAGATGTTTGATAAAGGACTATTCTAAAATTTGCAAAGAACTATTAAAACTCAATAAGGAAAAAATAATCCAATTAAAAAAGGGCATCAATCCTGTATCAGAAATATCATTAGTGAATATATTCTACCAGTCAGTAAGTTGCTTTTGTTTTGTTGAAGTTTTCCTTCGATGTACTGAAGCATTTAGATTGATGTATTCCCATTTGTTTATTTTTTCTTTTGTTTCCCTTGCTCAAGGGGACGTGTCCACCAAGATGTTAGTCAGACTAATGTCAGATAGTTTACTTTGTCTATTTTCTTCCAGTTTTATGATTTAGGATTTACATTTTAGTCCTTAAAGCATTTTTTAAATATTGTATGAATGGTACAGTTTTTATTTTTTTGCATGTATCTATCCTTCACTTTGTAATGATCAATGTTTTACTTATATATTTATAGTATACAGAATATTACTTTAATTATTTCACTGTAAAGCATTTTCCTGGACAATAATCTTATACTTCTTCCCACCAGAGGTAAGTCCCTCTTATGATGTATTCTTTTAAGAATAGCATCTTTATTTTGTTTCAAATACTAGAACATATGTATTTATTTTATAAAATATATTAATTCTTACCTCATCCCCTCTGCATCAGCTCAATCCCTTCTTATATAATTATTACACGTTATAATACATTGTTCTTTTTAATAAGAATGCTTGAGGCTTTTTTATATGCATGAGTTAGATGAATCACTTATTATCATATAATTATAATTTTTGATAAGAATAATTTTCATTTCATATTTAGCTTCAGGAAAGTTTTTATGAACTCCTCAATTATATATTCACAAATTTTGAAATTTGTGGGATCTCTTTTTCTGGTGCCCAAGGCTCTCCTCTCAAAGTCATTACACATCCAGTAAATCAATTCAGTAAGAAATTCCAGAAGTTTGTGTTTTTTATTCAAAACAACCGATTGACTATTCGTTCCATTTTTAAAAGACTATTTTTTGCTTAAATATACAATCAATTTTCTCTCATTATATCAAGATATTGTGTGCAAACGAGTTCAACCCTATAGTTAGCAGTTATAATTGGCATCATGCTGTGAATTGCACTGCTAACTAATCAAGTGTGTGATTGAAGCCATTGGTATCATTCTCAAAAGTGGCATGGTCCAGATATTTTTTTTTAGTAAATGTAAACAGGTGGTTGTTAAATGTAGACAAATATTTGGGGTGGCAACTATATTTATATTATATATTTTCATCCACATAAAGCATTTATACGTATAGATTTAGATATTTATTTATAAGATAGATCATCTACATGAGGACAGTTTTTCTTATTTTATGACTTAATAGTATTTCAGTAAACTTGGCTCTCTCGAAAATTTGTTTAATTTTTAAATGTAGGCCTCTCTGAATAAGGCTATCTAATTTGTGCTTATCTGTGTGTTTACTTACACATAATTAGAAACAGATATATAATCTTTTCAATTTCTGTTGGATTCAAGTATTAATTCATGAAAAAGTCCATTAAATGTCTCCTTGGTCTCTATAAAAATAAAAAACGTGATTATTTGAGTCAGTCTCATAACTTTATTTTGCATATATACTTAGATCTAGTTCTTATTGTTTTTATTTCTTGCCAAACATAGTGAGTTTCTTAATCCTGATATATGTTAAAATGCTTCCCACCTATCATCTTCATTCAAGTATCCACACTTCCCCAACATTTTCCATCATCCAACTTTGACATCACTGTCAAGAAACTATGTAAATTCTCTGCAAAGAGGAAAAGTAACCTCAGATCATCTCAACTGAGAAGCACAAGTTGAGAAACCAGAAGAACGAACAAGCTCAGGTTGCAATCTGCCCTCCAGCAGCTGCCTACCCCAGGGCATGCCGAGATGGGCACTTTACATTTCCCATGGATAGGATGGTTTGGGGTGTGTGCTTGACATAAATGTTTTCATTGGACAGTTTAGTAACATTGATAAGGTACGCTTAGCCTCAGAAGCCTGGCTTTTCTTTCAAACATATTTCATTAAAAATACATTTCTTAAAACAGAAAATAAGGATAAATATTTCTATGTCATTTCTCATTTATTGAATAACCCATTCTGGGCTTTAAAATCTGTGTTACAGGAGTTATTAGAACTGCCTTACATAACATGGACAGAGAAGCCAGAGAGCACTACTCGGTGGTCATTCAAGCCAAAGACATGGCTGGGCAAGTCGGAGGGCTTTCGGGCTCGACCACGGTCAACATCACCCTGACCGACGTCAACGACAACCCCCCGCGGTTCCCTCAGAGTATGTACCTGTTTCTTCTGATCTGAATGTAATACTATTCATTTATATAAAGCAAATGAAATACTTGCTTCTATAGCGGCATGTTACTGTCATCTTAAATGGAATGTTCTGTTTCTGTGCCATCTGATCTCCCTTCCATAAACAAGACTGAAGATTTCATCCTACCTATTGTCTCCTGAGCCTGGTAGATAGTTGTCACTGTGTTAAAGGTGTGTGTTTCAGTTGGTATCACAGTGAAACATTTAAAATGATGTACTCATACTGGGTGATGATATCCTGCATTGGCTAAAGTATTTATGGAATACCAAGGTATTCATAGAGATATTCAAAATACTCTTTGATATGGGCATCCTGAGGCAAAATAATTGCATGGTTACCTTTTTTTTTTTTACTAAAACTTAAAAGAAAATCCTTCATATCAGGATCCTTCACATACACACTCTCTCACACACACACCATCCAACAATCCAACATCAGGGTACAATTAATATAATAAGATAGGATTTTGGAGTAGAATATGCGTCTTGAGAATGGAGAGCATAAACTAGCAGGCAATTCAGGGAGAAGTATCAGTTCTGTGTGCTTGAAAGGAAGTGATATTTATGATATCAGAAGTGACAATAAATCACTATATTTGAATATTTTTGATGTGGCAGAACTGTAGATGACATTTTGCAGAATGATTTTTAATTATAAAAGTTCTGTAAGGGATCTTTCCCTTATGTTCTTCTTCCACATGATGTTTCAAAACTGTAATAAAATAGACAATGTGGTATGTCAGTAATGACTCTTCACAAGTTAGTGATAAATTCCTTCCCCAACTTTATCTCTTTTTAAAAAAAAAAATATTGATTTTAGAGAGAGAGGAAGGGAGAGGGAGAGAGGGATAAATATTGATGTGACTTAGAAACATCGATCAGTTGCCTCCTGTACCCCAACTCGTACTGAACTTGCAACCTGAACAAATGCCCTGACCAGGAATCAAACTGGTGACCAACCAAGTGAGTACCACCAGCCAGCGCTCCCAGCTTTATCTCTTACTGTTGGTCTCAGTACACCTCAGCCTCAGGCAGGTGGAATACTGATCATTCCTAAAACATAGTAATACTTAGCATACCCTTAATTCAACTCAGAATTCTCCACACTCACATTTCTTTGTTTAAAAGCCCTGCACAACTAACCTTGTTGCAGAATTAGCAGAGTTTATATTTTTAATTTCCTATTACATAGCACTTTCGCATGTCCTTTCATGTTATCTTTATTTCCATAGGTGCATATCTCCTCACCTAGTATGCATCTAAGTGAGAATAATGCTTGAATTGTCTTTGTAAACAAGTGTTCGGGTCAGTGCCCAGTCCTTGAAAAATGATTACTACTGAGTGACTGGGTCAAATTAAATATTCTGTCAAACTACCATTGTTAGAATATATACAACTCAAGTTCACAGTTAGGTAAAACCACTTTAAAATATTGGTTCTAGAGTTAAGATTATTTGACCTGGTTCACTGGCCTTTGCCCTGTGAAGAAAGTATGTCTGAGAGAAAATTAGAAATCATAGGTAGGGTTCTATTACATTAAATATAACATATCATTAAATTTAAATCATTTTACAAAGTACAGTGTACTTTTATATTTAGTTTATCATTTAGTCCATGCAATATGCATATACACATACAGCACTTTCACACAAGTGCTATTATTTCATAGGATTAGAAAACTTAATTTCAAATATTTTTAAAAGATAATGAGTAATAATGCTAAACTCAACTAAATACAAAATTTAATATAATTCACAATTCTAACTTGTATACCTTATTCTCAGGCAGATTGTACCATGACTATTGTTAATATGTATATTAATATCATAGATTTTAATCAAGAGAATAAATCTGGGGTAGAAATGGCAGGGGGAGGGGGTCAAGTAGGGAAAAGGAGACATATGTAAAACTTTATACAATAAAAATAATAATAAGTAAAATAAAATAAATCCAGTTCTGCACAATAGGGCATCAATAAATGCTTGGTCAAAATACATATAGCATCTCCATTTCTCTCTATAATCATTTTTTTTAAATTTACAAGTCCATTAAATTGATTTTAGAATTCAGAAAAATTGTAATAGTGATGACATAGAAAACTATTTATGGGCTTATGATAGATTAATAGCAGTTTTGTTGTTGGAAGCATCCATTTATGGTGAAAACAATAATTTTACCTGACAAGGAGAAAATAAATGCGTACTCTCTGAGTGATCTCATTATATGTAATGGGATCTACCTGTCCTTAGTAACAGCCTGTGCAGAATGACTGACAGATGTCACCCCTGCCACACTGCAAGATGCACTTAGTTTTGAAACAGAGCCAGTACCTACTCTGACTTGTTTAAAAGATATTTTATTTTGCACTCATGTTGCTCGAACATACTGCTGCTTTCAGAATGATTTAGTGTCACCCTGGCAAGAGTAGCTTGCAGTAAACTATTTTTTATTTACCCATTGCATTAAACTCATCAAATGACTGCTTATATATGGGAAACTTCGTAAACTCTTGGGAGAAGGAAATGATGTATATGAGGGCTGATATTCATGAAGCACCACAAAACACAAATCCATTTACATTTCAGCCTGTATAAAGATAACATCCAGTTATCAAATGGATTCAATGGTCTCATTGTTTCTCTTAAGGCATGAAATTTTTAGTTCTCCTAACTTCCTTCTCTCTTTTCCTATCTGAGAGAGCCATCTTTCTTACACCATTATGTGATCAGTTCTAGTATAAACATCCAGCACACAGAACTGCAAAAAGATTACCTTACTGTGTTTTTATTCTTTATCTTTCATTTGCTGACCTACCATGGCCTGAGAAGGTGAGTCAGCTTGTTATATCTGGTATTAATTTAAAGCTAGCTCTGTATTTCATTTATTTTCAAAGAGAGAGTGTAGGGGAGTGAGGGAGTTGCAGAGAGAGAGAGAGAGAGAGAGAGAGAGAGAGAGAGAGAGAGAAGAGAGAAAAGAGGGAGAGAGAAGAGAGAGGTGAGAGAAATACATTGATTGGTTGTGTCCTGCATGCGTCCCTACCAAGGTCAGGATCCAACCTGCCACCCACCTATGTACTCTTGACTGGGAATCAAACCTGCAACCTTTTGGTGTGCAGGCCAACACTCTAATCATTGAGCCACATATTTTCATTTCAAGTAGATAGGCTTTGAGTAAGTGTTTGAGAACAAGAATGAATTAGACTAATAGCTAAGTTAATTCTACAGAGTTGCAAACTCAGTGTCCTAGGATACAAGGTGAACAAAGGTCCAGGAGGGAGAAAAGCCATGCTCACCTAAGAGATCAGCCACTGCTCAATCCTAAGTAATGCCGACTTGTGGGCAGGAGAGTGTAGAAAAGGTAGCAGCTTGTAAGACTCAGTGAATTAGAAGAAACCAGACCGTCTATGGCTTGAATCCTTGAAAACTACAAATGGATGCCCAGTTCTCCTCAGAGAAGAACACCTTATGATGTAAAATTCCTCAATATTAGTCCTTTTATTGAAAGAAATCTATTCTACTCCTTAAGATTCTTGTTTCCTTTCTGGTTTTAGCTATGTTAGAATTATATTGTAGTTGTTGCTTAATTTACTATTAGGCCAAAAAAAATAATCACTGACAACTATTAATCTGTATTAACTAAATATGCATGTAAAAGTCATTACCTTACACAAAAGTTTATAAAGCAAACTGTCTGTATCATAAATGGAAGGATATGCGTTTTTGAGACTTGCCCTTGAAGAGTAAATAAATAAGTCAGGGAAAGAAGAATAACACATGTCAGATAATCCCAATGAGACTTGATTATCTGACAAAACTTCCCAATAACTGGAAATGATTGCAAAACTATAAGCCATCCAACAACTGAAGCCACTTAGGACTGGAGTTAATATAGTGCAATGTAATAGTGGGAGGATCAAGTCCCGGAAGTTCAATAGATGGCAGTATTTCCCATAATACTAAAAATTACAGATGTTTAACTGATTTAGGTAAGTTTTAATGTTCCTGAAAAAGAAAATATAATTGATGAAGATATTGACATTTTTGTGATATTACAATAGCAAATATTTCAGAGGAAGAACCACAGTTTTATTACATACATTTTCATAAAAACAAATCTAAATGTATTTAATACATTGAACACCAGTATTTTACTTGAAGGAGGTATTCAAAGAAACACACAAAAAGCTTCTTTGATCTGTAGTGTGCTTTTAAAAAAGACATCCAGTTGATTTTATTATGGCTACAGGCATATTATTTTGAAACTTGTAAGGATTTCTTTAACATCAGCATGCGATTTATTTAGATAATTGTCTCTATATACTTTTAAAAAAGTACATTCTTCAGCTGCATGGTTACTTTTCTATGTTTGTAAATTAGTTCAAGCTCATTCATATGCTATTCCAATTTTCTATATCCACACATTATTTTTGTTTGTCAGCAACTGGGAGATATACGTTAATGTTTCCCCCTATAACACTAGAATTTTCTACTTATCCTCATACACACAGAATTAGTAAATGATATCTTTCACAGATTGAAATTTTTTCAGTGTGAAACCTTTCTCTTTAACTTTAATGATGGTTCATTCTTGAAAATCCAATTTTTCTGATATTAATATAGTGATACCAAGCTATTTACTCTTTTCCCCCAGTTAATATTTGGTGTTCCCATCATTTTACTTTCAAACTATATTGTTCTTATTTTTAAAAGTTTCTTTAAGCCACTTTGTGTTTGTTGTTGTTTTCTTCTATTATAATCTAGGATTATAATTTTTTACAAGGTTTTTTAAATGTGGAAGAATATTTTAGAGAAAGCACATTGGCATCAGTTAAGAGAATGACCTGGAATAATGAGGAAGTTAAAAACAGGGAGCAAAATATACATAAGTACTAATCCATAGCCGTATGTCATAATTACCGATTTTTAAACTATTGTAATTTTTTATTTCAAGTTATAAAATTGT